ATATATATCGGGGAAAAAATACATTAAAAATAAATATTGTAGTTATTTGATACTTTGTTTATACTATGACAGTCATCACAGAAGACTTACAACTTGTGTAGCCTAGTTCCTTTATCTACCAGACGATGGTGGTAAATGACAACTTACTTAATAAATTGGGTTGAAGTGCATTTTTGTCTCAAGTGAATTATTCCATATTTTAAATCATTCGTTTTTATTCTAAATTTACATGACATAATGGTCAGTTAATCCGTATAAAACTAATTTCACGTAGGAAATATAATTTCCAAAATCCATGCAAGACGTAATTCTTTATAACTTATTGTGCGGAACAGATTCATAATAAAGTTGGACTGAAAGAATGTCTGGCAATTTATTTGGTGTATTGTTAAGTGCTGGAAAAGCCTGTGAACTGCTCTTGGGAAAGATGGAATAGATACTCAGAGCAGAAGGCAATATATGATTACATGTCTATTCAACCATTTTAACCAAATGATGAAACAGGTCTCTTGCTCAAACCAAAAAGCCCACTGCAGCTGCCGAGGGCAATATCCAGACACTAAAAACCTTTTCTCACTCTCTCAATCGCTCTTGCTTCCTCTCCAGGGCATTATGAACACTTTTATCTCAGAGATAAACGGAAGAATGCATCCTCTCCACATCTCTGTAACAAGTCTACAAAGACTGAGGGGAAAAGGTTCTTCACCCTGTAATGCATTTAATATGTCCTTAAAAAAGCTTCAACTGGCGATATCTGATTACTATGAGAATGAAATAGTTAGTTAGCTCTTGGATTCAACTTTGTGATTTTATGATTTAATGCAAAGAAGACCTTGTAAGAAAAATCTTGACAAAAAAAATAAATAAAATACATTAAAAAAAATCACACACACACACAATTTGAGCTCCATATAACCATTTTTAAGTGACACAAAAACACACTTCACTTGTTAAACTAGGAAATATAATTTATTGCATAAAAATTATATTTAGTTACAGTAAGAAGTCTAAACATTTATGTACAGTATTACTTTACAGCATTACATGGAAAAAAAACTCAAGACTTCTTCTGTACCATCTTTGATATAAAATAACATCTGAAAAAAATAAAAAGGTTAAGTTCGGCCACGCTTGAGTATCCATAAACAGCAACTACCATCCAGAGAGAAGCAACGCCCATTCAGCTTTACATGTGACATGTTCAAAAAGGCGTTTTCATGTAACATTGACCAAGAGACGACTGGACACATTTCAGAGCCATTTAAAAGGTTCAGAGTTCAGAATCCATCAGTGATTTTCAATGTTTTTTGCGGCCTTCGTCATGCAGAGAGTTAAAAATAATCCTCCAAACAAACTTGTTGTTGTTCATTATGAGGGTGCAAGTGACTGCCCAAAAGCTTCCTAAACAAATGAGGAGGAACGACACAGAGGTCATAGAACCCTGACCTACAGTCATTTTGTTTGCATTTATTACAGCTGAGAGGCCTAAGAGGTCCAGTTTTCCACAGCTTAGTTACAGCAGTGATCAGAAGAGGGAAAGTAATAAGATTCCCATTCCACGTACTTCATATACGAGACATCAAGACGTCCACAGATTCACTTTTTGTTGTGCACTTGCATAGTACTTATAATGGGAAAGGAGGAACAACAGATATGATGAAGCCTGTTCATTCGTATACACTGACTCATAGGTTGGGGTAAACAAGCTCTCTCTTGCGATTTCTCTCTCTCTCTCTCTCTCTCTCTCTCTCTCTCTATATCTCTCTCTCTCACACACACACACACACCCACACCCACCTCAGTTATTTAATTCACACCTTTACAGGCATGGACAGATACTGTCCACTTTTTGTTTTGTTTGTTGCCATACATTTGAACACTTGTGAAGAAAAAGTCAAGAAAAAAAAAGGACCAACATCCACTTCAACTGATTATATGACTTCTGATAATAAGCGGTACATGGCATTCAGGCTTACTCAAGGGAAACCCATTAAAACCTGAAAGTCAAAACAGACAATAAAGAGCAAGTGGGTCATACTGCAATCAACAGAGCACTTACGCCACCTCTCAAGGCTACTATTTATAATTTAAACAGCACGACTGACTGGCATCAAACCCCCGAAAAGGGCTTTCTGCCATCCGTGCAATTCTCATCCTATTTAACCAGCGCAGCATATTTGAAGCACGCTTTCCCAAGAAGGATCAAAGCACATTTAACCTCAGTGTAACATTTCAATTTCATCCCATCTCAGTTTCAATGACCAAAAAAATCAGCTTCTACTTGTGAAGTACATCACAAAACCTTTAAATGCACATTTATACTGCAATCCTGCCTAAGTTCACTCAGAGATGAATGCAACGACGCAGCAGTTTAAAAACAATGCATAACAGCAGTTACGAACAGAAAAGTGAAAAACAATGATCCACAAATAGGGATAATAACTTAAAAAAGTCCGTTCCCTATAGGAAACTAATATGAGTTTACCAGAAAGCTCTCCTGCGTTACAAATGATTAATTGAATAAAAAAAGACAGATAAAGGAGGCTAATGAAGGTATGATCAGAGAGAAAAAAAAAAGATTAAATTCCAGCAAAAAGTTTGGTCCCGTTAACGAGAACGCACAAATTCATTCCTGTATGCTATTTCAAAAGACACACAGAAAATAACGCTTCAAACTAAAGTGAAATCATTATGAAACTAATTTTAGTGCAGATGATTTTAGCTCCTTGCTGGTTGGCCTTTTTATCCATCTATACTCTTGTTTATTTGTGTGTGAGCATGTTTCCTGAGGAGCTTGGCACACTGCTGTTTTACCGGACACAGAATCTCAGTGTCTTTAAGCATCTAGCGGTCGCTAGGAAACAAAGCCAGCGGCTTGATGTGCAATGGCGTTTGATCATGTACTTTCACGCTTGGTATGTGTTGCAGGGAATCAGTGTGTATCAGTATGATGCAACTATCATTTAATCATGAGCTGATCGGAACCGTGCCAGCAAATGCACCGACTTCCTTTTCAAACAACATCTCTGTTTTGTGATTGCAGCTTCGTCACATTTGCTACATTTTGATATGTATTATTCGGAGATCATCCAGAGCACCTGACCCCAGCTCACAGGCGTCTCGATCCTTGGAATATTCTGTATGAGCACAAAGGAACTGAGGTAAAAGGCAAGTTGTAACGATGTACTGGAACGCAGTTTCCATCCGCTTGCATTAATTCTAGGTAAAAACCTAGCAAATATATCCCCTTTTCACACTTTTTGATTTGCCGATCAGCAATCTCCGTCCGTCGTCATGACAACCAAGACCTCACTCTTGCCCATCTCTTCAAGAGCTGTCGCCAGGGAGACCAGGTCTGCGTCACCCTGGTGACAAGCTTCCCACAGGTCTAGCAGCACACCTGTGGGGCTGGGTTTGGTTGCAAAGTAGTTCAGATACCTGAGGGAGAGATGTGGAAAGAGATGAAATCCTTCTCATCACCTATCTTGTATAAATAAATATGCTGGGTTTTTTTTGGTGCTGTGAAAGATGCAGGCAAAAATACCTGTCGAAGTCCAGCTTGCAAGCCAGCATTCTCCAGTCACAGCCTCGTGCGCTGGGGGCATCCAGACTGGCACAAATTTTCTGCCGTATGGAGACGGGCAGTCGGAAAGCATACGGGCCCACTTGAGACGAAGGCAGACACGAACCGCCTGCTGGCAATGGTGAGTGGGGGGGCAAAGTCTAAAAAGTATATGCACAAACACACAGGAAAACAAGTCAGTGCTCGTTATTATGTAGTTATTAAATTATGCATTTGTGATTCGACAGAATAAATAATATATCTACGTCCTGCTGTTTTCTGTACCTCTTGGATGTCAGTATTAAGCTGGAATATCTGTCCCTCCCCCTCCACCTGTCTGACACAAATCTTGCAGGTGAGCTGGGAAACCAGCAGGCTTCCTCTCTCCAGACTGAAGGTGCAATGCAACGGTCGTTGACTCCCACTCCAAATGTGGTAGAACGGGATTTCCTGGAAAACAAAACGCGCACAATTAAGAGGCAAATTTTAATTTTTTCTATTTTTGAAAAAAGCATCATGAATTACATCTGCGGATGCTCAAATGTGGATGTACACATTTTAATAATACTAATATAAAATGTACATGTAGAATTTTATACAATTATATTTAAAAAAATATCAATAATTAGACATTTGCACAACCATTCTAAAGTTTGAGGTCAGTAAGATTTTAAAAGAAAATTAATGCCTTCATACAGACAAATAAAATTGTATTAAATTAAATGCTGTTGTTTTGAACATTCTATTCACCAAAGAATCGTGAAAAAAGTTTCCGCAAGTTACAGTTTCCACAAAATTATTAAGCAACACAACTATTTTCAAAATTGACAATAATAAGAACTGTTACCTTAGCATCAAATCAGCATATTAGAATGATTTCTGAAGGATCGTGTGACACTGAAGACTGGAGTAACAGCTGCTGAAAATCCAGCTTCGCCATTACAATATTAAATTACATTTTAAAATATATTAAAATAGAAAACAGTCATATTAAATTGAAATTTCACAACAAACTCTTTTTTACTGTATTTTTGATTAAAAAAATGCAGCCTTGGTGAGCATAAGAGACATTCAAAATAATTTAAAACATTTTACCAACCCCAAACTTTTGAACAGCAGTTACATAGTATATCATAAGCTTCTTTGTTTCACTTAACATTACAAAAGGAAAGTCGTTTCACAGACAGAGAAAATTATTACGTTTGTATTTATCCCAAAATGTTTAACCATAAAAATAAATTATACATTTTACTCATATAACCAATAACAACATAAAATCTCTCACCTGATACTTAGCCAGGAGTTTACTCCTCCAATGAGAATGAGGAATGTCATGAATTGATAGCCGCAGGTTGTGGTAACTGTCCTTAAAGAGGAGGGGTTTGGGATCCTCTAATAAAACCCCACCCAAACTTCGCTCAACCTCTAATACTTCCTGCAAAAAGAGGACAAAAATTTAGCTTCTTTCCAAACTAAACAATTTATTGGCAAAGCAATCTCAATAAGAGGGGCAGACAGACTGACCTTAAGGGCATGTGGGGTGTCCTGTATGCAATAGACCCTCAGGCTGTAGTCTAAAGAGAGGCACGGGGCCCGGGGAGCAAAGAGGGCCAACTGCAGCCTCTTACAAGCTGGTCGAGGGGGAGCCGACTGTCCCACCAAACCATATGTCCCCAGCTGCTCCATCAGAATATGACAGCTTTGCTCCTCCACCTGTAGGTAGCATGGTGTTGACAAACTCTCCTCTCCCACAGTTAACACCTCCTAGTGGACGGGAGGAAATGAGTGTGTCAGAATATGCCTTTATATGTCTCATTTATCCAAATCACTATTTATAAAATGCTCTCCATCTTGTTCTCTTCCTTTTTCCCACCCTACATCTTCACTGACTCTGTGTCATTATCTAATGGTCTAGCCTATCTAATTTTTGAGATGTCATTCTCACCTCCCAGGCACCTTGATGGTTCTGCATTTTGAGGGTGAGGGTCCAGTCTGTGGGTTCTAGCTGGGCGCAGTGAGGCAGAGTTAGGACCGCAGGTCTGCTCAGCAGCATGCCAGAGGGTCCGCAGCTCACCACCGGACTTAATACGGTCTGACTTCCATCTGAAGGCAACCTGATACAAAACACAGAGCAAGAGAGGTTAGCAGCCCTAATTCAATGATATTCATGCCGCTAAATACAAATTAAAGAGCACAACATCAAAAACACAACATCCCAAAGTTTGCACTCTCTCATTTAGAGTAATCTGAGATTGAAATTTTTGAGAGGAAATAGTTAGTTTTTTTAACTTAAAGTGCCCCATTATGGATTTTTGAAAATTACCTTTCATGCAGTGTGTAACACAGCTCTAAGGGAATGAAAACATCCTGGCAAGTTTTAAATCTGAAAGTGCACCGTGTATAAAGTTATTGTCTCTCAAAAGAAAGAGTCGACTCTGAATCTTTGAAACGAGTCGTTCCCAAGCCGTTTCATGTTGACGTCAACATGAGACATTAGCATTTTGCCTGCCAACTTGTTGTTTTTTCCCGTTGGTCTGAATGAAAATGCTAATTCATTCTTTGCCACTAGGTGCCGCTTTTGGAGCGTAAAATAGCTGTTTCCCCGGTAACGCTGTACACAAAGCAACACTGTGCTCACAAACACTGCTTTTTCAGGCATTACAGGCATGATGAAATGAAAATGAGACCAATCGGACCAATCACAGCAAATTAGCATCAAGCAAAGGAGGGGATTGGAAAAATGAATTGTTTAACGAATCGTTTGGGAGTCCTTGAGCAAATAGGTAAAAATAAATGCATATTATAAGACAATGAAAGTGTTTTTTGACCTTGCATGCATGTCAACCTGTTGTTGGGGACTCCCAAAACCAAAATATGAACCTTTCATTACCCATAATAGGGGCACTTTAATGTATTTTTGTCGTTTTGCCACTTATAAGGATAGTGGAAAAGAAAGATGGGGGAGTGGGATACAGAAATGTTGCAAGCCAGATTCAAACTTGTGTCGGCCACATGCGCCTCAGAGCTCAGTGTCTAAAAGGACTAGGATGTGTTAACCCAGAGCCATGACTCTGGCAGTAATTATTAGTGTTTTGAGAAAATTTATGGCACCTACAAATAGTGAGAAACACAAAGCTTGCAGTCTGCAAGCTCTGAAGGCACAGTGATATTTATATATTTCATATTTGACAATAAAAATAAACACTGTAAAAAAAGAGAGAGAGAGAGCCTCAGCAAAAAAGTCAGAGCTCAGACAACCATTCAGTGTTTTCAAGACATATTTGTTTGTTTGTGTTTTTCCACTGTGTCATAGTTTTGAAATGTTATTTTCTCCCTAGCGCTGCCATTGGGGTCACAATGTTTGTGCAGTCAATATTGCTCTGCAAGGGCTGTTGAAATGTCTTGAACTGGACTGTTTGCAAGTGCACAAAGTGACAGATAAATGCAAGCGTTATATGTTGGGAAATGACAGTGTTATGGGGGCAGGGCACTGAGAAAGAGTTTCAAGTAGCTGACTTACGTTGTTTTCTCCCATTTGTTGATAATGAGATACATCTCGTAGAACTTGCCCTGAGGAATTGTCCCTGGTGGAACCAACAGGCTCACCCCTAGCAAGGGAAAAGGAGAACCGAGGGAGGATTAAAAAAGAAAACAATACGAATTTCTAATCTAATAGTTTCAGTATATTATTACAATGTTTTTGCACTGTAATGTCAGCTAAAAGGATGCTTGCAGACATTTTTAGAACAGTAAAACCTATTTTTCAAATCCAAACTGCAGGA